CCCCAAACAGTAATCTTTAAACAATGTTTGAGAACAGTCAGTAACTGTGGTGTTCAACCAGTTGTAAAGCAGAAGCCATTATAGCGGCTACTGTTATAGTGAACTAGCCACACTCAACCAGCCAAATAGCTAATGTGGCTAGCGCAGGGGTCGGCAACCCCTAGCATGCTTGCCATGAGCAGCACATAAGCCAATTTCCCACGACACGCAGGGTAGGTGCTCAGCCCACCCCTCCCCCCTCCCGTGCAGCCAGGAGCTTGTGCTGCAGCTCCAGCCTCAACCATGCAGCTGCAGGCTGGAGCAAAAACTTCGGCTTCCTGCTCAGAAAGTGGGGCAAGAAAGGCACGCATGCATCCCTGGGCCTGCCTCTACCCAGCCTGAGCATGCAGCTCCTGGGAGCTAAGGGGTTAACTCCCCCTTTCCTGACTACAAGCTTCTTGCTCCAGGGAGGGTGGGGGGCTGGGCCTGGGCAGCCAGCACATGAGACGTGCCAGGCTGCTCCCCCACAGTCTGTGCAGGATTGGGAAGCCCCTTCTCCAGAACTCTTCTGGGCCCTGCTGGACTGGAACCAGCTCTGGGAAACCCTGGGCTCTGCCTGCCCCAGCCCCGGAGCCTTAGCCTGCAGGCAAAGGGCTGGTCTGGGCAGGGAAGAGACTCTGCCCCCTGCCTCAGCGCTACTGCCCTGCTGGTGAATGCGCTAGGGGCACAGGGATATGGAGTTTGGGGGAGGGGGAGGTGAAGGAGGATGCAGGAGCAGGATGGGAGGGGACAGGGGTTGCACTGAGAGGCATGGGGTGATGCAGGGGATCAGACTGGGGGGGATCACGCAGCTAAGGGAGCAAAGCTGGAGCAGAGGGAAGATGTGAGGGGGGATACAACTGTACTTTGCAGAAGCTGTGTTTTCCTTTACTCCCCACTTCTTTGCCTCCCTCCCCAACCAGCTATTTGGCTGCATTCTCACCCTCTCACCTTTTCTGCATTACTCCCACAACCCCTTCCCGCCCCCAAACTCCCTCTCATACCACGACCCACACCCTTTTCTTCCGCCAAACTTCCTTCCAGACGCTCTACTGCTTATCCCATCCTGCATCCCTATACCACTCATTGGCAGCACTATCCCCCACACTGAATCCTTCATTTTTGTCTCCCCCACCAGGTGCCTAAGGGGATCCACAAAATCCACTAACTCGAGAACCCCAGAAAAGTAAATCTCGCCTTTGGGAGGCTCTGAACCTCAGTCTTCCCTGTCCCTTCCCCTCACCCAGCGGGGGGCTGAAGTACCAGAAAAGTGAGGTGTCTCAGTTGGGGGCCACATTAGTGAGGGTTGGGGGGGGGTTTGGAGGAGTTTCTTTGCATCTCACTTGTGTGGTCCCCAACTGACTTTTCTGTGTGGGTTAGTAACCAACCCAAAAAAAGATTCCCCACCCCTGACAAAGAAAGAAAACATTTAAACCTTGTGTGTCAGACACAATATTTTTCTTTATTTAAAATGAAGTTTGAAAAACTAACATGAGAAAGTTAAATGCTTAATCTGTTTCTTGATTTGTTTAATAATTTAAATTAAACTGTTCTCCCCAGCTGCAGCACTAGCAAAATGGCTTGGGCGTAATTAACAATGAGTTTCCATTAGCAACTTGTAGTCTGTGGAAAGGTTTGCACTGACTCAGGTGATCCACAGGGCATGCTGTTGAGAGATCCCCTCCCCCACTCCTAGGAGAGTGGCATGGCCCAGGGCAGGAAGGTTAAATCTTGGCACACCACTTCCGAAAGACTGCTGACCCCTGGGCTAGCATGCTGGACAACCACAGGTCTATAAGCTCTTAGGGCTTGCATACAAAAGGGTAGATGGAGAAGGATGACAAGCAGATAAATAACACAGTTTATGCTGTTCACCCATTCATGTCTGAAGCCAGTGAAGCTCCACTGGTGATGGAGGTAAGTAGCCTAGCTGCAGTAGCAGCATTTGAGCTACAGTGTCATTCACTCCTGCCCAGAGCAGGACTGTGGAAGTATCAATTAATCCCTAGTAACCTGTCTACATGACAGCTCCCTCCACCATTGCTAGTTACAATACTATAGAATACTGAGAATGGTTTCCAACCTTTTTTCCCCCCCATTTGCAGACCCCTAAATTTTTTTTCAAATGGACATGAAAACCAAATCTTAAGCAAGCTTTATGGACTCCCAGGGGCCTGCAGATCACAGATTGAAAACAATGAGCTAAATTATAGGTTGAGCCAGTGTGTACTAAAATTGGTTTTTACTTAAAGGAGTTTCTAAACTTGTTACAACCCTGTAAATTCAAAGTCAAAGAACAGTTAAAATATGGTATTATTCCATATATATTGATCACGTAGACTCATGTGTTAACTATGCTGGAGCATTACTGTATTATTACAAGGTCCCCCTGAAAACTTTTGGAAATGTGGACAGAACCAAAACACCAGTGCTCAAGAGACCCAGATGAGAGAATAAACTTTAAAAGGTAAGAGGTCTGTCAAAGATGAGTATTAAAGTGGGCACACAATATTCATTTTCAAAATATAAATCTCATGTTCTCCCAGGAGTTAGAAGCTGTAAGCAACTATGAAAGAAAACATGAACCTAATTTCCAAAAACAATTGAGATTTTACATTTTACAACTGACTATTATATGCACAGTACTCCACATTTCTGCCTAGCCTTGGGATGTCAAAATGCATTTAATTAAAAAACTGTGTAACTATTGAACATTTCAGCAATTACACCCACAGTCCCCCTTTGCTGCTGCCTCCGATACAGAGGCAGCAGCAAGCTGGGAAGGGAGGCAGCTGCCTGGAAGCCAGTGCACACTGAGAGCCGGCTTTTAAGCTGACTCCCTGCGCATACTGGGAGCCTGTATGTAACCGTGAACATTAACCAATAAGCCCAGGCTCATCGGTTGACCATATATACGGTTACACTTTCATAGCCATAGTCTAGATAGTTTCACTGTTTCCCTTGTATAGTCAGTTTATCATTTTCCCTGTTCATAAGGGTCTTCCAAAAAGCAAGAGCTCAGAAATATACATTGTTTTTTAAAATAAAGCAGGAAAATGTCACTATTATTCCAGAAGTTAGCAGGGAAGACTCAAAGGAAATTAAACTACTTTTAAAAATTATTTTTATGCGAACAACTACATTTCAGCTGGATAGTGACCCATTTAAGTCAGCATCTGTAAATTTGATATTATGAAGCACTCTGGGATTTTTGTAAAAATGAGTACTGCATTATTACTATTATAGTATTCATACAGGAAATTCTACTAGAAGAAAAAACAAACAATGCAACAAAAATAAACTTATTTATTTCTAATACAGTACAAGGGCAGATTGGAATCTTCATATTGTAAAATCATATGAAGCATCACAAAGCAACCTGTCCAGGTCTGCACAGTGTCTCACTGAGGTTACTGGAAATTTATGTGGGTTCGCAGACACCTATGTAGATTGCTTTCCTATGATCAGAGCTAAAAATACAGATCATGCAAACAGAATTTTCTTCTTGGCTGAGTTGCTGTAAAACCTCCCATTTTCAAACCTTGAAGTGAGAACAGCTCTCATAAATAAAACAGCTGCATATCATACTGCAGTAAACCTGCAAGGCTAAAAAAAAATCCCTTCATAGCCTTCACATAGTTTTGCCACAAACATTTCAATTGAATAACAACATCAAACACAGAAACAATGGGAAGGCATCCTACACTCTTATGTATTAGGACACTAAAAGGATAATCAATATTTTGTCACTGAGAAAAAAAAAACCATGAAGGGGGAGGGAGAAATCCAACACTATACAACAGGAGCTCTCCACATAAAAGCTTTTGAAGGAGGAAATGCCATAATGCTGCCTAGTCAGGACTTTAAACTCCCTGCATTCAATTTCATTTTGCTTTTTTCCTCTTCTAAACTTGACCTTCCACAGCAGAGGCCAGGATCTCCCTGGAGCCACAGCTACCTGTAGCCGCATTCCTTTGCAAGATTCACTGAAACCTCATAGCAACAAGTAACTGCACAGACCGCACAACTAACGCCTTAAATAAACGTGTCTCTCCCGTAAGGTCCACCGTACAGAATCACCACACTGTTAAAACAACAACTAAATCTTGCCAAGTTGTTCTTTCTTTTCAATACACATGTAGGGGCCGCTCCGGATATCGGTATTTAAAGAAACATCCAGGTTCCGCCGGGTTTTTATTGATCTAATAACTGTAGACACTTCGGAGGAAATAAAAATGTCCAGCTGCGATACAACCTAGGAGCCAGCCGCACACCAGCATCCTAGGTGACCATCCTATTCCAATAGAAATGTAGCCGTGTTAGTCTGGTGTAGCTGAACCAAAAAAACAGGGCAAGGTTGCACTTTAAAGACTAACAAGCTGGTTTAATAGGTGAAAGCTCATCACCTATTAAACATCTTGTTAGTCTTTAAAGTGCTACCTGGGTCTGTTTTTTGGTTCATCCTATTCCAGACCTCGCACGGAGGCATCTCCAGAATGCGGACCAGGCAGAAAAGCCAGCCCGCCTGCGGTCCCTCCCGCCGTCACCGTGCGACCTCTCCCCGTAGACTCCCCTGGCTCCAGTGCGGTTTCCCTAATTCACCGGCGGAGGGGGAACTCCGAGAAGCCGCCTGCTCCCCAAGCGCAAGACACGGGAAACTGAGCAGCCACGAAGCAGCCGAGCCCCCTGGCCCACGCCGGGACGCTCCCTAGCGACCTCCACGGGGCTGGGCGTGGGGTGCGCTAACCATTAGGGGTTACGACGCGCCAGCAGCAGGCTCGGGACGCAAGGCCAGCGTGGGGTGTGGGGTGCGGGGCCAGCCCCCCCCCTGCGCACAGCTGGGGGGGGAGCCACTGGGCTGCAACGCAGCCCCCAAACCCTGCGGCCGCACAGACGGGCACTTGGGTCGCTGCTTTTCAACCCGCCTCCTCTCGATCCCCCCCCCCCGGCTGGAAAAGCCTCCCCCGCCAGGGGCCTCTTACCAGCCTATTCGGAGGGCGGGAGCCGGGGCAGCCGTAGCAGCGGCTCCTTCATGGCGCCAGGGTGCCCCCCCGTCTCCTCCTCCTGCGGCGGCTCCCCAGAGCACCTAAGAGCTGACACATCAACAAAGATGGCTGCCGCCGACAGCGACCCAGCCTCCGGGGGCGGGGCCAGAGCTGGCGCGCTGCCCGCCGCGGGCCTGGCCGCGCTGTCGCTGGCAGCCAGCGGGGGCGAAGCTTGTTGACTGCGTGGGAAGGGTTCCTCCTGTTTCCCTGCCCCTCCTTCTTGCCGTGCCCTCCCCAGCTGAGTCACACGCCCCCAAGCCAGCGCTGGGGTGATTAACCGCAGGAGGAATCCTGCCCAGGGAAGCCTCCCACTGGCACCTGCTTCGGGCTCCAGCACTGCGGAGAAGGAACCACAGCTCCCCTCAGGGCTTGCCTGTGTTAGCCACCCACCTGCGGGGAGGCGGCTCGCTGTCCCATCTACAGCAAAGGATTCATGGGCACAAGTCGGGTATTTGAAAAGGCATCACACAGAAACCCGTTGGGGAACATTTTAACTTGCCCCTGGGCACTCATAAATCTCAAAGTTTTCATATTCTTCCAAGCCAGTTTCAAAAACCCGCTTGAGAGGGAAGATGCAGAGCTTAGTTTCCTTTACAAGTTTGATACCTGCAACAGAGGTTTAAACAAAGCTATTGAAACATCTTTGCTTCCAGCCTGCTATTGAATGTAACGTTTAGCCCCTACCCCTGATAGGGATGCCAGTTGTGGAATGTAGCCAATAAAATCCAATTGAAGAGACTCCCAAAGTTGCACAAACATGTTCTGAGGAAAGGCACGTTGTTTGTAGATTTAACTGAAATCAGAAGCTTGAGGGGAAAGGGATACAAAAGTTTTCTGTGGCCAACATCTGAGAAAAAGTAATCACTTTGATCTTCTATTGGCAGCAGATTCAAGGGCACGTGTGTGATCCCAGCTGCACGTTGTATGGCACTTAAGAGGCTAATAGTGAAGCTAGTAAATGTCCTTAGCCTTCATAAAATTCAGTTAATGTTCTAGAGGGACAGAGTGAAAACAACTGCAATAGTTTTCCTTAAAAAATGGGTGAGGTCTCATGGAGCATGATTAATGTATTGTTTAATTGGTGCCCTGACAATGAGATAGATATTGAAAATAAAGACAATTCAGCTTCCAGTGCTAGACTTTGGGGTAGCAAACATAATGGCTATGTCTAAACTACATGCTTCTTGCGCAAGAAGCCTTTTGTGCAAGAGTTTTTGCGCACAAACTTCTTGCGCAAGACCACATCCACACCTCAGAGCACATTGCAAAAGTGATGTGCTTTTGCACAAGAGAGCATCCACCCTGCATGGACACTCTTGCACAAGAAAGCTCTGATGGCCATTTACAGAATGGCCATCAGAGCACCTGTGCTTTTTCCCATAGGCGTTTCTTGCTGCTGGAGCATCCACACTTGCCTTTTTGCACAAGAACTCGTAAAAAGAGGCTTACCTGCAGTGGAAAAAGCCCTCTGCTCTGCCATTTTACTCTTGATTTCCTTGCACAAAAGCGCATTTGAGGTGTGGACGCTCTATGGGTTTTTGGCAAAAAACTTGCAGTGTAGACGTAGCCAACCAGGGTACTGAAGGTGACATTTAAATCAAGTCTGATTGTGCTGCTGCTCCCTCTTTCATAGTCCTGAAGGAGTTCATTGTGATGCCTGCACTGAACCCACTCCACAGACAGTGCTAGCAATTGCTTATAGCAGAGGGTGGGAAACCTCCAGCCTAGTGGGCCAGAAGCAGCTTCCTGATTAATTTCATCTAGCCTGTGGCAAAGCCCTGAGCCTGCGGGGCTAGAGCTGAAAGCGATGGCTCGCTATCTTCTGGGAAGTTCCCCATGCTACCCTCACCTTCAGGCACCACCCCTACAGCTCTGATTGGCTGGGAACTGTGGGCCATATTTGTAGGTAAGGCCAATAGGTAGAGCTGCCTTCTTCTCCGCCCTCCCATCCTCTTGGAAGGGACTGCAGGGATATGCTGGCTGCTTCCGAATCTGGGAGCTGCCAGAGGTAAGTGTCCTGCCCCAACTCTGAGCCTCCCTCACACTCCATCACCCCCACCCCAACCTCCTGCCATGAGCCCCTGCTGCATTCCAAACCCCTAAGCCTCAGCCCAGAGCCTCCTCTCTCACCCCATCCCCTTTGTCTCATGCCCTATAGTAGAGCCAACCCTCCCAGTCAGAGACCTACCCCTTCCCACATCCCCAATTGTTTGCAGCAGACTGGAGCCCTCCCACACCTGGAACACCCCATTTGATCCCATCCCAGCTATAGGATGGATGCCATAGCTGCAAATTGTGTCTGGTCTATCCAGTCAGGAAAGTTGGCAACCCTAATCCCAAAAACTAGGGGAAGCCCTCGCCATTCTCTGCCTCCCCCCACAGGTCTTTGTATGGTGTGTGACTGATTTTTTTTTCTTGGGGTCAGTGACTCCTGAAAGGAAAAAGATTCCCTACCCCTGGCTTATAGCCACTGCCTCAGCTCCACAGTTGATCTCGCAAAGAGAGGAAAGTTTTTTTCACGGGGTTGCAGGGCAGGGGTTGAAAGGCTGTCTGCTGGTTTTGAGTAGCTAAATACTAGTGTTATAAGGAGCTATACAGCTCAAAGAGGTTTTGAAAGACCATTTTAATAGTGATCCACAGAGATGTGTGTTACTGTAGCATGTTCTGTTTGACTTTTTTTGGTGTCCTACTTTTTTTTGTACCTAAAATTGTTTTTGAATGTTTTGTGTGTAATAATATAACATTGGAAATGCATCTATTGCTAGCATCTGTGAGTGATGTCAGCCCCAGCCAGCATATGTTGTAAATAAAGATTAATTATGTTTCCATTAATAGACTTCCAGACTCATGCAGACAGATATTTATAACTAAATGAATCTTCATAAATACAGGTGGAAGAACTTTTGAAGAGAAAGAATAGTCATTCTCATTTCACAAACACATATGTGCCTATCTTGTTTCCTACTCTCTTCAGCGGGGAATGTAATGACTCCTAATGCCGTGAGGATATAAAATTCAGAGAAGTTCTAGAATGAGCTGTTGAGGAAAGCCAGCACAGGTCTATTGAACCTGAAGGTCAGCAAGATTCGCCAGCATATTTGTCTGCTGCTTGAGAAGTGCTAGTATAACCACTACTGTGCAGATTCCAACGTAGGCCCTCTGGAGCTTAGTGTTGGAGTCTCTACTATGTGAGCTATAAAGCTTAGGCCGTAGAGCTCCCTTGTTATCTTTCACTGTAAGTGGTCTAAGTGCCACTACATGGAACAGTGACCCTCACTAAGGCTGCGTCTACACTGCAGGCTTCTTACGCAAGAACTTTTTGCCGAAGAGATCTTCTGCAAAAAGTTCTTGCGCAAAAGCGTGTCCACACTGCCATGTGCTTTTGCAGTGCAAGAAAGCTAGGATGGCCATTCACAGGTGCTCTTGTGCAAGAAAGCCCTGTTGTCTGTCCACACACACATTTTTGCGCAAGAGCTCTTGCGCAAAAAGGCTTATTCCTCATAGAAAGAGGAATAACTCTTGCGCAAAAAGCCCTGTCTTCTGACAATCTACTGTACTTTTTCTTGAGCAAAAATGCACCTTAAGTGTGGATGCTCTGCGAGTTTTTGCGCAAAAACTCTGAGGTGTAGACTTAGCCTGTGTGGGAGGGTCACACTAGCATCTCCTGCTGCTGCAAGCCTCTTTTCTTTTCCCTGAGCTTTTCTCTTCTCTATGCTATCCCTACCCATTCTGTCCATGAAGGTGGAAGGGTGATTCTCCGAGCCTTGTGTCCATCATCCAAAGCACAAAAAGCTTGCAAGAACTCGTGGAAGATAATCATCCTGCATCCACTTTCTTCTCGTCTTTATCTGGCTGCACAGATCTGCTAGTGTGGATGGAGAGACCCTCAAGGCCACATTTCCAGATGCAAAAGATACAATGCACAGAGGTACTATTGTGAGTGTTTTCTCAAGATAAATGGAAACTTAGTACATTGAACTCCCCTTGACCCACACAAGTTGCAAGCACTACATTGCTGGAGACCCAGCCATGATGAGTATAGTCTGGGAAGGGCGGCAAATTGGACATTAGAATGCGGGGCCATATGTTGCTAGCTTGTATGCTGAAATGGGGCCTGCTGAAGTAACTGATGAGTGGTGTGGGAAGAATCCTACTGTAGAGGAAGAAATAAGGCAGTCCTCCCCCAGAAAACCTTTGAAAGAGGATTGCAGACTATCTTCAGGAAAGTTTCTTCAAGATTTCTAGAAGATTCACAGTAGAGCCTAGTGCACATAAATACAATTTTTTCGGCAGGACCCCCCTGGGGGGGTCTCATCGTACAGGGGGATGAGAAGCAGTTAGTGGCTCTACCTTGCTTGGTTATTTCACTACCTCTTTTAGAATTATTAAAAAAGAGAAAATGAACAGAGATTCCTTCCTCTGCATTAGGCCCACCTGTGCTTAACTATTGGGACTGATCTAGCTGCATTGGAGTCAAAACCAGCTCTTGGCTACTTATATCACTGGATGTAGGGAGTCACCCAGTCACCTGTCCCCCATATTCCTCCTTTTCTTAGTCCAACACCTCCTCCTCACTGTTCACTGTACAGATCTGGGACTCTGGATCCTGATTCCTTCCTCTGCATTAGGCCCACCTGTGCTTAACTATTGGGACTGATCTAGCTGCATTGGAGTCAAAACCAGCTCTTGGCTACTTATATCACTGGATGTAGGGAGTCACCCAGTCACCTGTCCCCCATATTCCTCCTTTTCTTAGTCCAACACCTCCTCCTCACTGTTCACTGTACAGATCTGGGACTCTGGATCCTG